TTTTTAATGAAATTTCTTCCCGATCGTTCTGAAGAATTGTTCCTTTCTATAGTTTTCTTCCCTCAATAGACTCTTTTGTTGTTTGCTATGCTTTTCCCGTAGAAAGATTTGTTCTTCTATATGTTTACTTGACCGTTTCTCTTGTAGCTCAGATTTGCGAAAGAACATAGAACATTTAGAGAAAAACAGTGTAACAAGTCTTCGAACGTTGGTTAATCTTGGGTCAGAAGTGTATATGCAAGCAGAAGTGTAAGTCTTCATTGTCTGTTTTTGGACTCTTACTCAGCTATATCCACAAATATACGTTGTTCTATTCCTAAAATGTATGCATTTTGTATGTATTTCACTGTCATGATTTCATTTTAAATAATTGGGTCTGGGTCTACTTACTGCCACCATGAAGTAGAATCATTCCGTTTTATATGCCCTTTACATATTCTGGTTTAGTGGTGAGCATGTATGTATGCTTCAACTTAAGAATTTTGTTGAACTTTATGATTGCAATTGGATTGAGATTTAAGATTCCTGTCATCGTTTGTTTCATTTGTCATTCAGTGTTTGGTCTAATTCTACACTTTTTCTCTTCATGTTTACAGGCCAGACACACAACGTATATTTGTGGATATTGGACTAGGATTTCATGTGGAGTTCACCTGGTCCGAAGCCTTAAAGTTCATCTCATTGAGGGAGGAAAAGTTAGAAAGGTATACGATTTTTCTTAAATGGATCAAGCTGCTTAGTTTGGAAGTTTGTATGTCTCTTATTTTCGTATAGTTTTATGCACGATAGTACTTTTCAACCTGTTTGTTTTTGTTCAGTTCATAGAGATGTTATCTATTGTCTGCTTATTGCAAAACCTGACATGTTAAGCAAGGTATATGATTAGTTTAGTTTAATAATGCTGTGGAATCCACTACTGCTGCTATAAGGTAGTATGAAAATTATATCTTTATCCATAATGTCCTATGTTTCAAGCATGATTCGAGAAGCTGTTTTTGCCAATCTAGACTTTATTTCTTTCAACATATATGTTGGTCTAAACAAGGGTAAGAGGATGGAGAAAATTAAATATAGGATATTTGCACTAGTGTGTGGAGCTTGATTCTTGGTCTGGAGTGTTAAGAACAACGTTTCTATTTCTTTAAACAGCTTGCCTGCATGTCAAGGAACAGATTGGCTGGTTATTGTTGTTTTGTTTCTCCATTTTAAAGTTTAGCATCGACCATCATCATAGTTCCATAGTAGAGGTTATAACTGAAAGAAAATGGAACAGGCTTTGGTCTATACGATAGAATGTGATGATAAAATTTAATGCCTTCACATAATAAGCTGAGTTTCACCCCACGTCTTGATTGCCATTGGTTGCATAACTTCTCCATTCTTTCTCTTTTTAAAGTATTTTCCGACTGCACTTTGCAGGCAAATAGAGGAGTATACCTGCTTGATAGCATCGATTAAAGCCCAGATTAAGCTGGTATGTTTGTACATGTCTTTCCCTTTCATTCATTTCCTCCTTTTTGAAAATGTGTGTGGGTGGGTGCTCATATTGCATAAGTGGCATTAACTATGGGTCATATAAACCCTCACTACAGGTTTGCGAAGGAATTCGGGAGTTGCTTCAGATTCCAGCGGAGAAAACCGTAGAAGAGCGCATCTTTTAGCATTTACAAACTTGAATCTATGAATCTGTTATTTCTTGCACAATGAAATGGAACTTTTTTACTTGAGTCTATTTGCAATGCTGCTAACCTTTGATCAAGAATTCTACGTACAATAACAAGCTTGCAGAATCCTTTTTGGGCTGGGGCTGAGGGGGGATCAAGCCTGCCTGCAGACTTCCTGCAAATAAACAGAGGACATGGGCTTTAGGTCCTTATCTTTTTCCTTTCGAACAAAATGAGGAGAAATATGGGCCTCAGGTCCTACCCGTTTTGCACCAATCTATCACACTCAAACATGTCACTTCGAAAGTCACTCAGATTGGCTGGTACTGAACTTACGGTTCCATCGAAAACCGTTCACGTCCCATTGCTTCTTGTCTCCCTGAATCATCAAGGCTGCCAACGGCGAAATTGGCGGCATTTGATCATTGTTTTTATTGTACATGGACGTGCTGGTGGGGTCGGGGAAATTCCCCAGTTTGTTAATTAGAGCTTCAGTGTGATGGAAAATTGTGTGTTGGCTGTGTCTCCTATCCAGCAATAGGATATCCATGGCTCGAGGTGAAAAACTGATGGCTCTTACATGGCTATTGCTAAGCTGGATTGGCCTGAGTTTGCTGATTTCTTCCCCAATCAGAATACTGCTCACCCTGTTGACAAATGTTATAAACAAAAGATCAAAACTTTTTTCTATGATTAAAATAAAAATCGACATTATTCAGAAAATAACATTGTTCAAACAGTTTTACAATCCCTGCTTCAGGTTTTGTTAGATTCTGTTCCTGTTGTGAAACATGAAGAGACAAGTAAAGAGAAGTTGGCATTAGTCTCTTCATTGAGTAAAATCCTCCAGGGAAGACGGGACAGTACAGGGAACTCCATTTAAGAGTCTCTCTCTCTGTCTGCAGTTGTATTAGGTCGAGGGATGATTGCGACCGTCGGATTCATTACAGTTGACGCTCATAGTGTTTGAAATTTGGATTGATGGGACCAGTACTCTGCGTTTCGTTTGATGCTCGATTCTCCTTCACGTATTTGTAGTTTCAGAGGAACAGGGGGGGACGGACGGGGACCCGACTGCCCTTTGTATCAGAATAAGGTTCCATCACCGACACAAGGAATCAATTCCACCCACCATCCTCCCCCATCGATCTATCTAACTCCTTGGACTAATACGCTTTTGCCTTGATTCTCGTGCCCTAATTTCAACTTTTTCCTTCAATTTTTCTCATTTTCCTTCTAAGAAAACTGGAAAAATGTTTAGTCTACTGCCATTGTTACTCATTAGATCATATCTTGCAGGTTACTGTAGCAGGGTGGTATAGGATCAGCACTAGACCTTGTTATCGAGAAGGTGTTCGAGTGTTAGAAATCGGTTAAGATTATTTTGATTTACACTTAGTAAATGATGTTTTAGGGGTCAGTATTGATACTATTGTGTAGAATTAGAGTAGTAATAAAAAAAAATTCGATATTAATCGGTGCAAATCTATTGAATACGATTCCTTTTTTTTTTAATATTAATCGATTATGAAAAGTATCGGTTGATTTTTTATATTTAAAAATTATAATTGAAAAATAACATATTGTTAATATTTTTCATTATAAATATTATTAATATGTTTAAAACGTACATGCACCATTAAATTAAAAATATTTAGATTTTATTAATGAAATATTATCAAAACATGAAGAAAATACTTTTAAATATATTGCTTATATATAAATAACTTGATAGCGATATGTCTACATATTAGTTTTGTAGTTGAAACTTTTTCTTTCTTTAACAAATGGAAGACGCAAGTGGTGAAAATAGTCAGGCAGCAGAGTAAGCTGAACACTCTTTCACTCTTCCATTTCCGTTCTTTCATTCAACAGAGAAAAGAGGGAGAGTTTACAGCCTAAGACAGAAGATTGAGGAACCCTAAGCCCTATGAATGGAGATATAATGGAAGACGTGTCATCCATCTAGTGGCTTTAATGAAGGGACCCATAGTTGCTTCTGTCGAGAACCCATGTTTGGTTTCAGAGACCAGAGTCCTTTCTGTCCCTTATGGTGGCAGTGCAGTCCAGTACTTTAAAGCCACACTGAAGCACATCAGAGGGGAAAGTAAAGCAGAGAAATAAACGAGTGGGAAACTGGCATTGATTATGGTGGTAAAAAGAAAAAAGAAAGAACAAGAAATAAAAGCGATAAAAGAGAGAGAGAGAGGGAGCTGAGCTGAAGAGACAAAAGGGGAAGTCGAAAGTCAGACTTCAGTGGGGTTTGCTTGAAATCCCAATCTTTTCTTGGCATTTGTTTTGTTTGTTTCCTCTTTATCTTTTTTCTCTGCGTCCTGAGCTGAGTTGGTTTTGGGTTTTGTGGTATATTTTGGTTGGTAGTGGAAGTAGTAGTACCACTATCACCACCATACCTTCTGGGACCCTCACAAAGCAAGCATTTCCCCCAAACTTTAATATCCTCCGGCTTTTTCTTTGCCCTTTAATCGTGTTGGAGAAGTAGAACCCTCCCATTCCTGCTGATGCATGCATGGGAATTGGGAAATGGGTAAAGGAGTAATAGTAGCAGAGTAGTAGCAGTAGGAGAACATGTACTGACCACTGCCTAGACAGATATTTCAAGCTTTCATACCCAGATACTTTATTTTTATAATCCAATTCTTTTTTATATATAGTGCCAATGCTGCCTTTAGGATCCATCTCCATAACTATCTGCCCTTTAATTAATGCACCTGTTGTTACCACCATTCATTTCTGCGGTAAAACTACAAAAAATGTGTTATGGTCGATGGGTTGTGGCTGAGACCTCGGTTCCTCACAAAAGGTCACAGCCGTCTGTACCCCTCAAAACAAAGTAAAACAAATGAGTGAAGGTCACAACCCTGGTCCTCCAATTTAAAACTGTTTCTACCTGCCTAGGATGAAAGCATCAATCAGCCTTTTCTCCACTCTTAGCTAGGCTCTGTGCTTGCACCGATAGGCTTTTTGCCAGACAACCCCGCAATCATGTGGCTATACTTTTATGATAACCATTTCATAAAAGGTTGCTTCAGATTGTTGAAAGGGGAGAATCAACATGGAAAATGAGTTGTTGGAAAGGATGGCTCATCTTTATTATTATTAGTGAAAATGGTGAAGGTGAAAAGAAGAAAAAACAAACCCCAATCCTATGAAATTACAATCTCATACGGCAGTTGTTGTAATCTAATTGAAGTAATGTCAGAGAATATGTAAAAACTAAAGACAGGCACGAAGCTGTTGGTACAAGTGAAAGAATGCTACTTGTATGCTATAATCATTTTTTGTTCTTGCTTTTAGTTTCTTCAGTTATATTTTTGAGGGTATGTAAGTGAACTACCAAATATTCCTTACATTGATGATCCTTCCAACTAAATCCACGAGCTGTCTGCAATTGTTTGCAAATCAACTGCTTAGAGCCTTTGGAGTGATTCTACTTTAGCATAAAGAATTTCTCTTACGGTTCTGTAACATGAAAGGGCTATATTTGATCTTTGTTAACAACAGCAGATTATTCCTGCAAGGTACAAACTACACGCTAGTAAATTATTTTTACTATATCAACTTATATTTAAACACCCAAAATTTTCATGAAAGATGTTTACAATGAAATTTAAGATTTGTCACTTGGTTGCTATGAGGATGTACAACATGCAGCAGGATCAAATTAGGCCATTATGAAATATATTCTTGATTCTTGGAGCCTTACCTACCTACAAGTTGTAATCATGGAAACTGGCTGGCTAAAGTGATTTTAGACTTTCATGTACTGCACTGCACTACATATGTGACTGTGAGGAATACATTTATGCAGTATGAAGATCCTATAATTCAAGAATTCTTGGCATGCAAGGAGAGCCAGTGACAGGTTAGCAGTAAAACATGAGCTTCTTAACATTCTCACTTAGTTTCGGTAGAGGTGTTGTCTTTGGAGGAGCTGCACGAGAGATTGTGGAAGAACTTCTCATAAAAGCTACAGATTCTGATCGCTCGAGGTAAAGCCTGCCTCTATATGCAGCCAGGTGGGCATAGTAAGCAGGCGGCACCAAAGAAACTGGCTTGGTGCACCTTACAAACGTGTAGCATAGATTGTAAACCAGCTTCTGCAGTTCATCCGAAGTGAATTGGTTCTCATCCCACAAGACATGGTAATGGGTTGGGCGGCTAGTACCCTTCACCCCCCAATGACTACAAAGATAGAAATCGAATTCCCTTGGATGAGTTATCACAGTATCCACCACGGTCCCTGGGGGAATATTGTCACCGAAAAGTTGGTTTTGAGTGGAAGAAGGATCCATTTCAAACGGAAACAACCTTGTATGATGCCTCTTCTGAACTACAGCAAAAGTAATGGGAGGTTTGTAACCTGGGAATTTTGCACAAGCTTCTCTAACAGCTTGTAATTCCTCTTTAAGCAGCTTATAGAATTGAGTTTCACTTACGCCATCTCTGAAGAAGATTATTCTCTTGGGCAGTTTGTTCACTTCTTGGTAGAAGTCATCCAATAATTCCCCAACCATTGCAGCAAGATCCTGAATGATTTCCTGTCTATGTGTTTGAGATCTCATTCTAGATACATACTTGTTTGCTGCAGGCCAGTTCATGCTACCAACGACAGCAGCAACAGATGGGCTGAAATCATCAAGCGGATGAGGATGAGTCACATCAGCACCCATAAAGATCACAGGTTCATCAGGCCGGAGAAGACGTGGAATCTGAGAAGGTAATGAATTGTACAAAGCAACCGTGCAACCACCAACTTTGGCATTGATCTTTAGGGCTAAATTTGCAAGAAATTGTGAACTTAATTTCCCAAGGTTCGGGTACAAGCAGCACTGGCTCACAACTCCAACACTTGTCTCTGCTATTCGCTTTAAATCTGCATACCCTTTGTGCTTTTTCTCCATGATACATATGAGCAGCTGGAGATTGTTTGATGCATCTCTGTGGATTTTCTTAAGTTTTGATTCCAAAAGAGTCACATTATTAAGCACTTGTGTTGATTCAAAGTAGGGACTAACAATTGTGCTTTTGTTAAGAAAGATACCCAGCTGCTCACACCTTTGAGATAGCTGGTTTATGAATTTAGGAATGTTGGACTTCTGATCAGGTGTGCCCCCAAAACTTATAAGTGCCCACTTTTCTATTCGTGTTCCCTCAAAGACATGGCTTTCCAGAAGATTCCACTGCCTATCGGGGCGGGAAGGAGTAATATCTCTTATGTGTCCACCATCACCAAGCTTAAGCTTGGGAGGTTGAAGAATTCTCCCATTCAACCGAGTCATTTCTCTGGAAACATGGAGTTTGAATTCTCCTGCCTGGTTGCCACTGTCAACAAGCATAAAATGAGAAAATTACAAAAAAAGAAAAGGATCTTACTAACAAACAATCAATTATTATCAAGAGCATCTAAATGAAATTTTTCCAAGTACTTCTATAACATTACCTTGTAGGCCCTACAGGTCCTCTCATGATTCCATCAATTATGGCTTTACGTTCTTTTGGCCTCTGGCAGCCCATTTTAAGAATTCTTGCAGTCTGATCATCTGAAAGCTTTCCAAGAAATTTCTGGCCTTCGCAAATCACACAAAGCTCCATAGGAAGATAGCAGGGTTTGCTCCTACTGATCTGCAAGCATGGCAAATTCCGGAACTGTATATCGTAATTGTAGTGATCCTTAAAGTAATTAACAAGCCTCAAATTCTTCCCATCCCTGTCTGCGAAGTAAAGATTTTCTGTAGCATCTTCAGTTAAGCCATAAACTCTGTATCTTTGAACTGTTTCTCTATGGCAAACGAAAACTCTGATATTCCTCAATGCCTTCTCCACTTCTTTCCTTTCTTCATCACTCAGAGCCCTTGTCTTCCTTTGAGAAAGATCTCGAAGAAAGTTGAGCCGCTTCTGCAAGTAAGGGATTACTCCAATACTCTCGTGGAAGGCAGTGATGGAGAAATCGACATTGAGAGCCAGTCCTTGTTGTGTTGGTCGAAGGCTCTGAAAGAAACCCCTCCATCCAATAGCTCCTCCTCCAATTTCCTTAGTACCTCCCATTGAACTTGAATAAAATGACCTCCCTACAGATATACACTTCTCCATTGGACTCTCCCTAAGAACAACATCCAAGGCATGGAGATAATCTTGAGGGAGTGGGATCCAATCACCACCTTCCTTGCTCAAGTAACTGCTCAAATCCTTTCCATCAAACTTGGAAACATGTCTGATATTAACTCGAAATACTTTAAGCTGATGCTGCTTCGGTTGAAAGCCATTCAATTCCCCAAAAGGCAAACTTGACTTGGTGGTGGGTATTGGGAGACTGATAAAGAACTCAAGCTTATCATTTTGAAATTCAACAGGGCTGTAAAAATTCTTTCTGCCATCATATGCTGGATGAGCACCAGAGAGCAACCCTGAGTTGCTTTCTACCAGTTTCTGTTTGATCATTCTAGCAACCTCCTTGGAGGGATTAGGAGATATTTCAACATTATAATGGTAAATTTTTAGAGAGGGATCAAATTTAACTAGAAAATGGTTGGCAAGCAGAGAGATTACTGGCCCTTCTACACCAACAGAATCTGGTCTCCTTGCAGCTACTAGTGCTTGCTTTGTAGTACTCATGATCTTTCCTCCATTGCTTCCTTTAAATGGTAAACCTTTTCTCCCTTGAAGCCCCTCTGGAGCTGCTTAGGTTTGTTGAAAGAGAAAAATTAGAACTTGAATACAACTGCTTGGATGTAACTTTTGGATAAAAATCAACTAAAAGAGGTTGAATAGTTGAAGCTGCTAATAACTAATGAACTCGAGAGTTTCATATAAAAGAATTAGCTTTTATTTCTAGCAATAAAATTTTCATCTTTGCATATAACTAAAAATGAAAGAGGCAAAAGGAAAGACATTGGAAACAAAGATTCTTTTTTTAATCTGTCCTGTTGAAGAAGACCCTCTCATAATCTTTAAAACAAAATCAACTATGAACTTAAAATGATAGACATGCAGAGGAAATATGAAAAAAGAAACAACAAAAAGAACAAACAGAAATAATAGAGTCACCTTGTGTAATTGTTACGACCGGGACTTGGGTATCAGAGACAGAGGAGGTGGCAAGAGTAGGATCATTAACCTTACACGATAGTTTCTGCAAATGGGTTTTTGTTTGAAAGGTTTGGTTTTGAGAGAGAGGTGGAGTTAAAGCTAGCTGCAAGGGCATTGGAGGAGGTAAGGGAAGCAAAGCAGGGTAACAAGAGTAACTTTGGAACTGGTTTTGGTTAAAGAACCCAAAGTGACTTGAGTATTGCAACAATGGGTGCTGGTAATGGTGCTTATGAGGGTTGGTCCTGCTCTTGAAAGTCCTGGTTTTGGTAGTGCATTTCTTGTTAGCATGGTGCTCTTCTGTTTCCTCCATTGCCTGATTGTGAAAAAGCACGACTGTGACAGAAATATGTGGCTGTGAGCATGAGAGGGAAAGA